TAAATAATTGACTGAAAACGTAGAAAGGGAGTAATAAGAAACATTTTATGTATCCGTGAGTTTGATCGCATGTTCCATATACCTAATTTCCCTTCTATGTTTAATATTCTATGACGTACTTGTAGTGACCTACTTTTATTAAGAGAACGCGATTGATGTAATGGAAACAATTATTATTAAACTAATTGTACCAGGGATTGTTTTACCGTACTTCTTTGTTTAACTGTATCGAAATACATACATTCTTCCGTTGATTGTGACCTTGCAAGAATGCGGTTACGCTCAGTAACCACACTTGTAACCTGGAACGATCTCGGTATTCGTTAGATACCACGAGATCGCCAACAAACACATCTCCACTACAGCCATCAACTGACTTCTGATATTTGGCCTACGGAGGATCTTATCGGTTAACTGGTACGTAGTCTTCTAGTAGTGGTGACCATAGTCAACCACCACTCGACGCCACATAATAATACAGTAAACTTCACAAATGGCGTAGACTAATTCCGTGTAATTTATATAACTGCCTATCTGGATATAACCTCCTGAAAAGTACAACAGACCATGTGACGTCAGATCCCAAATGTGATTTCATAAATCTTCTGTTGAGAGAAAATGTTAAATAAATGCATAGATATCTTTTCTGACAACACATTCCTCGTTCCATCCAGTTGCGATAATAATTTTATTGAATTTCTGACCTCTACAACTTGATTACCGAAGGTTTTATTTGTACATGAAGAATTATTATTACTGTGAACATTTCACTCCTAGTGATTCGTTTTACAATTTCGTTTACTAAACTAATAGCAGTTAACAGATATTCTATGTAATTAATTGCATCATACTCTATATTTATTATTACGATCCTAAATAGGTCGAAATTGTTTTTATAGACATTTTTACAAGATGGATACTCCACACAAGTTAATACCTATGTAAGAATTTGTCCCAGATTAGCCTCGTTCCAGGTACTGTTGAAAACTATAGTTGGTTGGATGACTATATCCCCTTAATATTCGCGTTGTTCGGCAGTGCCCACGCACGACTCCTCCATGGTGGTCGCCTAACGATTGGACTACTAGGTTAGCTTTCAATGAGACAGATTCTCAACTTCAATCAGTTTGTATTAAATATGTGGAAAAGCCTAACCATAAAAACTGTAATGAATCCATTCCAATCTACGATGTCAGTTTAACAAATATTTTACTGACCGAAGTAGTTTGGAAATTCATTTATAATCTGTATTTTTAAGTTTAATAATAAATTACTAAATACTCGTGTTTCCCAATTATCATAAAAAGATTAGTGCGAAGCTATATCACTTAACAAAGTAGATGAATCTCTTGACAGACCCGTTACAATTACAGATCGTATACAAACTGTACCTATGATAAATGACCAGTGAAACGATTGCTACACGTTTGTCACAGAATTTTAAATATACATTACTTGGACTAGATAAAATTGAGTAATTAATACTAGTGTGGTAAATAATTTAATTAACCTAACAGATTTTAAATTTGTCATGGGTTGAATTTCATTTCATCATGATTCACTTTCTGGAATACTGAGAATTTTATTATGAAAAACATGGTAGTCAATAATTCTTCTACTGGTTCTATTTAACCTCAGGAAGATTATTATAAATTTAATTAACACTTTATACCTACTTTTCGGTCCAATAATCAATCCAAAATTTCCCCTGGTATTTGAAACATGATCAACACTTTTGTTTTTAGGAATGAGTCTATGACTTTTTCTTCTGATTCATGAAAACCCATTCACATTTAACTTTGGTATTATTTTCAATTTTATAAAGGTAAACAATAACATTTTTGTTTATTCGATTCTATTTGCTTTTATAAATCTAAATTCTTTGTTATTTCCAATACCAATCGACATCTCTATATCAACGTATTTAAAGTACATGAATATTATATATATATATATATATATATATATATATATATATATATATATATATATATATATATACTTTGGGTAAAAATAAGTAATGGAAGCAAAATAATATTGTCTCCTTCATTGTAGATCAGATAGCATATTCATATTGTATTCTAATAAAATTTCACAAAGAGCGTTTTTGAACTTCATGTAAGACTTTAATGTTTATATCTTCCTGGCTGTTAAATTCAATAGTAAACCCTGATTGGTTTGTCCTAGGGGAGGACACTGCATTATGATGCATATTTTCGATATTTTATGGAATCAGAATGATTAATTTACAACAAAAAGTCAACAGCTGAATTAGAAATAAATATTCGTAGCTTTTAATTCTCTATTAGCTTATAATACAGTCTAGTAGCTGGTATACTTGCCTTTGAATCATTATATAGGAAGTTCGAATACCTATAGATCTACATAAATTTGAGTAGCTAGATAATTTTATTGGTCCTCATGTTCCTAAAATTCAACTAATTGAAGAGAGCATAGTCACGGAGTTATGACATATTAAGTCTACTCGTTCGCTATATTTTTTAAATAAAAACATTACAAAGGAGTTATGTGGAATGTGTTTTAACTGAAGACATCAGCACTCAGATAAAGATCTGCACCACTTGAATAGAGGAAACGTTTAACATCGTTTATATCTAACAGTATTCTTACCGTGTTCAAAACGAAACATAAAATTCAAATACTTATTTTCCATTCCCCTTGAATTACTAAAGTTTGATGGAAGAAACAGTGGGACAGTAACACAGTAGACGTTTTTTATGTAAGCTTGTAAAATAAATTGCAACACGCATATACAAATTTACTCTTGGCACGTTACAATGTATTCATTAGCTTACATACTTTAATTTGAGTCGAATAAAAAATTCTAACAGGGATTCCCGAAATAACAAATATTAAATTTAACAAAATACGACAAATTCCTACCCTTTATTACCATCTCTTAGATTGGATACAAGCCAAAAAACTAGTCTTAGAAATGGTTACATGAACTGTCTCGATTCATTAACCGTAAAAAAGTGTCCCGTTTGACATTTCGTTATTAAAAGAATGCTTTGCAAAAAATATTATCTTTTGATGTTACGTTCTGTGTTCTGGATAGTTTGATTGCGATAAATCATATCAATTGAAATAAGCACTACACTGAACAGAGTAGGCGCTCTCCTCACCTCTGTATGAACAAATAGAGGCTAAGAGAGAAAAGACAATATATTACTACTTGTGTCAATGAACCGAAACAACTACAATCGATTGAGAAAATGTCGAAATTTCTGCATGAAAATCTAAAAAAATTCCTGAGTTTCTAGAAACATGATATTTGGGTCGATTCGCAATAAAAATATAAACTAAGTTGTCAATCAGCGAGTTAAAGGGAAACCAATCACATAAAAAACGAACAACACAACCAACTGGTTACGAAAACATAAGGATAATAAGATCTGAAGAAAGCAACGTCATCAGTTTTAGAATATATATATGAGACCAACGTGCTTTTGAGAAAAATTCACGAAGAGTAAGAGCTGGCCAAAAATAAAAACGTTATGAAGAAATACGTATCAGAGACATTATACTCACAGTTCACTCAGTTAAATGTAGAGTAGAACGTGATAGATATGTATTGGTTTAGGTTCCCATAACATAGTAGCCCGTAGAGATAAAATTATTACAAATCCCACAGTAGTGGGACTAGTAACAATACCAGTAGTATTAGAAAAGATTAAGTATGTAAAAATAACTATCCTATTGACTAAATTAAAATTATTTACGCACCTTTAAGGATGCTTCAACACCTTGATCAACAATAAATACTATTTATAGAGTGAAATAATACCAATTTTCTTGGTTATTTATGAGCACGTACTATTTGTGAAGATATGAGGTGATAAAGACAGATATTTTTAAATTGACTTTGCTTTCAAACCTACGCTATTTTCTTGAACCAAATATTGAATATAAAGCAATCGATAACGGCTAACAATCTTGTATGGTTTAGTAGTCGCTCACAACGATAACTTTAATGGGTATTTACAAATAACTCTAATATTTGTACAACGAGTAAGATTCAGAGTGGGGGGCAGTAAAAGTATGGTCCGACTCTATTCCAAGGCCGAATTCGCCTCCATATAATGTGATAACACTTACCACTCTTGCATGTGTGGCTTAAAACTTCAGCTTCGTTGATAAATTTTTCTAGATAAAATAAATTGCGAAATATCAACCTATTGTAATAATATTTAAATCAATCTACAATCGTCTGACGTAATTGTGTTCAGTAAATAGTGCTATTTATAAATTACGTTTAAGCTGAGTTCATCGTCGAGTACTTTATTCAACCAGATAAAATTAATATTTTATTCCTATGAATATACAAGCTACTAACAATAAATAAATAGTATGAAAATATCTGAAAAGTTTGTTTACGAAGAGATGAGGATACTAGATTAAGGACTAGCAATCTATCAATTGTTATTTGGCATTATGATCGAAAACTACTTGCCCAGAAAATACTTCTAAAGAGCAAGTAACAGGAGTTAAAAACATTTTTGAACACTGCTACAACGAAAGTACCTTCAATAGACGGTTTAAGAAAAGATTTATCACAATCTTCCTTTTTAAAGTGATGTCACTGCTGAATTATTAACAAAAATTGAGAGTATAAACACTGCATCCACGTTAGACATCATTACTACGACTCCTCATATACTTTCAGTCCATTTAAATGATAGGCTCACAAGGTTAATGTGTCTCTGTGTTTAATAAGTGCTATAAATGGACGAGAATAAATGAATGGTAACCGCTAATAATCATTTATTGACCAATTTTATACATATATTCTTACTGTATAACTGTTAAGAAACTAAACTGTATATATTTCTATTCCTCTTATTATAAGCTTCTATTTGACCAATTGGCTACCACTATGCGAGTTATTAATTCTCAAATTTACCGGTTAGTCTCTCTCAATCACAGCCACCTTTTGGTCTGATTTTGTATAATTATTATTTTTTCTCTTTTTCTTTGTTACAGCTCACCTTTAACCTGTCTAGTTGATCATTTGATTTTCATATAAAAATGTTTTAATAATTATGTGTGACCAGATTGTTCGAAATGTATTGCGCAAATATATCACATAATTCTGATAAAATTCGTCTTCTCATTGCATTATCGAAAAATATAATTATTACTTCCTATTTCATGGTATGATGCGGTCTGGTTGGTTTGAATGTAAACCAAGTATATGATTCACATAACGGAGGTTGATATTTGCGTTCTGGACTCAACAGGCAATGCTAGGCAGAAAAAGGATCAATAAGAACTCTAGGCGTTATTGGTTCGGTCGATAAGTCACTGTTCTCTAGTTGACAATCGTATCTCGATATAATTAACAGAGCATAAAATATAACAATAAGCACATATCACTGGCAAACTATCCGTTTTCTTTGTTTGATGTAATTATTCTACGGCTCGATGTCAGTCAAAAAACTACAGATAATACTGCAGTGATAATGTGTTACAGAAAAAAAACAATGAACATTTTCTTAGTTGAGACAAATTTCGTCATCCTAGAATGATTAGTAACCCATAACAGTCGGAAGAACAAATGACAGGCGATTTTTTACTCAATGAGTATGTTATTTTTATGCACAAACTGGTCATCCTGACAGATAAAGTAAGAAGTGGGTTTCCTAAAACAACGCAACCTAAGTGATCAAAAACAAATGGGAGATAAAAGCGATGAAAAAAACGTACATAACGATTGTTGACTTTTGGTTTTATGGGATATTACATTGCGTCATAATTATTCTTCAGAATTCATACTTTCCTAAATTTATTGACTGATCTCAGGGGATAAGCTTCTCACTTTTGTTATTGACATTTCGATGTTGTAATCATTAGAATCAAAGCGTCTATGGATCTATCAGCACATTATAACCACGTTGTAAATATTTGTTTATCGTCAGTAAACGTCTAAATTTATACGGAATGAATTCGGTGAATGAGGGTAGTTGAATAAGTGAGATTGTTATTTAAGAAGACTTAAGATTTAACAAGTGCACTGACAGTGCCTATAAAGTCTAGAACAATACGTCAGTAATTAATGGGAAATCATAATGATGATTACTGATGAGTACACTACGCTAAAATCAATAACTTCCATTTAAATTATATCTTGTCAATTTATTCAAGTCAGTGGACTCCCAATGATCACATTATTTTTAAAAACAGCTACTCTTTTTATAAAGAATGGAAAATTCACCTCGTTCAGCTTGTGATATTGATAAGTTAGTTTAAAGATGGGGACGAAATTGGGGCATAAGGGCGATTGAATAGTGAGGAAAGACACATGATCCCATAGTTTATGACTGAATGAGTAGGTCACACATCGATGTACCAGCTGAACGGATACGAACTTAAGAAAGAAGACAGGTTGTTTCAAAAGAAATTTTACCATATCTAATAAGTTCAATATCATTACAAAAGTATTTGTAAATATACTTAATAATTAACCTTGAACGACGGAAAATCCAATAACCCACCACAATATCAAACTACTGATATGAAAAGTACGATTTACTGCAGCAGGATGAGAAATTGGAGAGAGAGAGGGAGTTAAGAATTCAAAACCTAAGACTTAAAAAATCATGAATCTATAATTATTCTCAAAAAATGTTATCTGTTGCTGGTAAGTATTACTCTTCGAAAATAATAGGTCTGTAGCTATCAGTAACCTGGACTCAATTACTAATCCCAAGACAAAGCATAATATGATCCGAATAACACCAAGAGTAAATAAGATGATGATCATTATGAGTAATGAAGATTGTCCTCTGAAACAGCCGTCACTTACCAGATGTCTTAAGTTTGAAAACCTTCAAAAACGCATTCTGGTTGTACTTGAATTAATTTTTCAGTCACATTCACATAAATATTATAGTTGTTTTCTGCATTAAATGATAAGAGAATCAAAATTGTCATTATTGATAGGAAATCATATACTAAGAGTGAAACAAAATTGACTGAAAAATGGTATGGAACCGATCAATTATAGTGTACTATATGGTTAGGATGATTTCGGAAGAAATTATTGTATTTTGTAGTGAGAGGTAACTGAAGACATTAGACCACATTGTTGGGATTAAATATTTTTTCCTCGAGTCTTAATGCTTATGGACAATTTTTCTAGAACCTATGTTACTACGGCACCTCGCTGCGTCTATGTGGCGTGGCTAATTGAACTGACGCACATATGTACCAGGTTCTATGTTGAGTATGACTGACTGGTTGGAAGGTTTAGTTGTGAATTTACAGAAATCAAATTCCAGTAAAAATCTAATTGTGAGTTACAATATACAAAAGAATTTAAGCCTTGTTAAAACATTCACTAAAATTCTTAGTTAGGCCTATCGTTCCGGTTATTTTGCAATTTACGCAAAAACTACTTAGTGCTCTCTCTCATTTATATATATACCGAAGCAGGTGGTTTCGACCTAAAGGTCTGATCCACAAGGCAGTGGAGTAACGTTAGGAGATGCAGTCGTCCCATGGTAGCCGATGACCGATGAGTGGTTCATACGCCACTTGTTCCCTTAGGATCCTGGAGTTCATGTGCATCATTGGTTTGGAATCAGGGTTTCCCAACTTCCCTAGGTGGATGCTCAATATCCACCAACCCGGTAAAAGCGCCGCACATTCGCGTCTCGTCTTCTCGTAAACAACACCCCCGCCGCAAGAAGGCAGTGAGTAGGACTTCCCTGACACTGACTGTACACGCGTGGCCATGTGAGAGCATTTCGAGAAGGAGACCTGACTCTCCCCACCCTCGGCCGTACCATCTAATAATTTTTTATAGTGTGAAACATAAGAAATGTGATTCAATTTCAAACGTTCATTTAACAGTGACAACTCTATGAGAACTTAATCTAAAGCAATTTTCCTGAAAACAATTAGTGTTAATCTATTTGCTTGAATGCTAATCTAGGATTACTTAATTAAATACCTAGATGTTTCTCCAAAATATTTACATGTTATACCTGAAACGTAAACATCCACAAACACTTTGAATTGGTTCAGATATTCTTCTTGCACCTATATAATACTACAAGTTGAATCAAATGAGAGGATATCAAAAGTAATATGTGACTATTTAGAAGCAGTAGATTCAAAGTTACAAATATCTGTTTTGTCATCCCAATTCGTATGGGTACTTATGATGATAATCATCTAGAGATGAAATATGTAGAAATTACACTTACACTTATGCGAGCACAAAGATTGTCATAATGCACCAAATAGGCAGACAGTAACGTAGAATACCATACAATGGTTCATTGTTTCCAGCCGCTATATTTTGCAATAGCTTAGAAAGAGAAAAGAAATGTGAAATATATTAAAATGAACGAGAATGTCACAAGTGAACACGGCAAATCGGCACATGGTGTTTCATTCATATTATGCTCAACTTTCAACACATTATTACGTAACACGAAATACAAACATTTTGGTCGAAATTCCGTAATGTTGCCTGAGATTACCAAACGTGTATTCCATATACAAGGATGAACTAAGACAAAAAGGCTATATTTCACACATGGTTCAGACCAAGAATCAGAAGCTGCATAGTCGATTGTAATAACTCAGGCAATCTACCGAATGAGTGATTGGGAGTTCATACAACTAGTGAAACAGAAAGGAAGAAGTCTTTACACATTTATTTCCGTCTAACAGAATTGTTTAGTTGAGTGTACATAATTATGGAAATCGAGAGTATATTCAAAACATATTTTAACAATGATTAAAGAGTAGTCTACAACAGCATCAAATACATCAAAAGCGAGTAAAATGACGAATTTCTTAATAAAGAATTGCATATAAATTATTTTTCCAGTCAAACTTAATATTGATTGATGTACCAAATTTTCGATACTATTAAGGACTAATAAACTTATTGGATCATTTTATCGTATTCTAACGTAGCCACATGTGACCATGTAATTTAAAAGAGCAACGAGAAAAATTAAATTCTTCATTTTCTAAATGACTTAAACCAACAACAGAAACAGGAAATATACAATAATTTCACATGAATACATTTTAATATGTGAAAATTTAAAAATGAGCAATCAGATAATTCTCAAAAATCAATTTACAAATGATGAGTGAAAATTGAAAATTGGAAATTTTATCTTGCTTCCTTTTGTTAAAGAGATAAAAACGATTTTCTAATATTCAAAGTCTACATTTTTAATTACGTCCAACTTAGTTCTAGCTTAGATAGTCTCCAAGAAATGATACAAATGAAAAAAATAGACAGTATGTGAAGTTAGGATGCAAATGTGATGTTTGAATGTATGAGTATGAAACTGTACAACGATGACGAATTTTACTCATCAAAATTAATACAACAATAACACGTATGAAGTTACCAGTTATTAACAATAGACGGAGAGTCACCAACAGCAACCGACTCCAAGCCCTCAAATGAGGTAGATACATTTGGTCTGGAACTTGACTTTGAGTAAACTTTGTTATCAGTAGGTGGAGGAGCCCAAAGACAAAGAAGATGTTCATACAAACAACGGATCCCAAAAATAAACAGTGCCTGTAGGGTATATTGAGCTATAAGAGCACCAAAACCTTTATAAAGACCCAGAATCCCAACAGACGAGCCCAAGCTAGAGCGAAGTGCATCAAAAAATCCATCATATGAAGAAACAATGGGAACAACTACATCACCCGTATCCATATTATCAACCAGCGTACGAGTGCCTTGAACACATAACCGTAGTACTAGGGTTTCTACTGGATAAAGTACAACATCTGCGACAAAATTAGCTGTCATCCCAGCGAACAAGTCGGCATAATAACGATCATAGATAGCCTGTAAAGCGGTGTCCTGACGTTGGTAAGTTAAAGTATCCATATCCGTTGTATGACACTCACTAATAGATGTATGTATGTTTGGTGTGGGAAATCCAGGAGAACACTTATTTCGATTAAAACCTTCAGTCTGAAAGTTGATAAAAAAAATAAGTTTCTATTAATAAAATACAAGATACTCTCGGAAAAAACATGGTAATATGTATGCTGAAATCCCCAAATCCATTGTACACATCGTCAGTTTTTCAGTGGTACAAAAATGTTGGGAAATTCGTCCTTGTAATGTTGTAACACGGAAACTCAGAGCATGAAAGATCTATATACAAAAACCTTAAAATTCTTTATGATCCTTAACTCTACGAAACCAATACCACATTATCCCAGACATTTAATATGAGAGTTTCTTGTCTAATGTATATCCCCAGCATATCAAAATCGTTAATGGCACTGGTGAATTCGTATCATATGTTGGTGTTATCAATAATGACCGGCCGTTTAACAATAATAATCGTGACTACATAGAAATAACGTTCAGTATGTGAAGGTGACATTCTTGCGCAGCTATTCTACGATCCGGAAGGATTTTGATATAAACTCCAGTGGCACATCTTCATTTAGCTAGTGTCTTTACACAACATATTTACAATCGATAGTTGTCACTATTTTGTGAAAAACATTCCATGCCATAAAAACTCAAAAAGTGGAAATACAAGTGGACTTGATTGAACGGCTTGTTTAAAAACTTTTGTGAATGAAGAAACCTAATATACCAATATATGGGGAAATAAGCTCCTATTCTTTTTAGTTTTTTTGAACATCTTTTTGCCAGTAAAAGTTCACTTCATTTTTTAATTGCGATTTACTTTGTTAATAAATTATGACTATAATTATATACATATGACTTGAATTCTCTATCTCGAATGTCAGTTCACTAGACATGAAAATATGGGGAAACACTACTCATATCAACACATATTGCAGAGCTAAGCTAACAAAAGGTAAATCAACCAACAAAACAGCTACTTTAAAACAACCATTCTGATAACTGGTAAACAAGATCATGCTTTTATTGTTTGTGCGACTATCAGAGATCATTTAAGAAACAGATAATGCATAATTTAGTTCAGCTTAAACAGAACTGTTTGATATACCTTATAATTGAAGTTTATTTCCGCATCTCGTTCAAGACGATCCTCATTACCACTCCAATAATATAAAGCTACAGTGTTTGCAAACGATCGAACGACATAATGACCAACATTTAGTAAAACAACAGGAGGAAAGAGACGCCAAACAGGCAGCAAACGTGACGACGCAATCGGGATGCTTTTGATAATATGACCACTGCGAAACATTGAACCTGCTGAGCCTAATCTTGGGGATGACGGCATGTGAAATAAGCGATAAAAACCATCGAGTACACAAGAAAGAAGGGTGGTTGGTTCAGAAGCTTTATCAGACTAAAAACATTTGTAGATTAAAACACGAAAAAGAAAATGGCTTTAGTCAGACTAATATGTGTAGTTATAATACTAATTTTGGTTTTCAAAATAAACAAAACTATACATAAAGTAGCGAAATTACTTCGTTCGAAAATATTTCATGCGACTTGAGCTGGTCGCCCCCGAACGCCCTGGTACGGCCGAGAGTGGGGAGAGTCCGCTCTCCCTCTCGAAATACTCTCACACGGTCGCGGGTATACAGCCTCTGCCAGGGAAGTCCTACTCATTGCCTTCTCGTGGCGGGGGTGTTGTTTACGAAAATGAGAGGACGAAAAGCGAACGTCCGGCGCTTTAACCGGATCACAAACCAATGGTGCACATGGGCTCCAGTATCCTGCGGGAACAAATGGCGTATGAACCAATCGTTGGTCACCGGCTACCATGGGATTGCATCTCCTCACGATGTTCCACTGCCTTGTGGGTTAGACCATTAGGTCAAAGGCTCGGGGTGTGGCCCCCTAAGATAACCACCTGCTTCGGTTTGGGCACCCGGGCAGTATCACAGCCCACACACAAACAATGAACTCTATGACTACGGCAGCTACCTTTCTCGATCCGATAAACAATCAATCAATTCAAATAATTATCATTACTATTATTGTCATTATTAATACTATTATTATTATTATTATTATTATTATCATTATTATTTTCACATTGTTCACCCTCTTTTATACTTATACAGCGGATCGTCTTTGGTGGAAATCCGACTGTATCTAAACGTTCTCGAGTCACTGTCCGGTTGAAAATTGTATGTTACCACCGAATACGAGAACTGAAGCAGTTTTTCTGAAACCACGTGCACCATTCAAACTGGCTGCCTTCAACGTTCGCACACTAGTGCAGGTCGGACAACAGATAGGGCTGGCTATGTCTTTGGAAAGTCTTAATATTGATGTTTGTTGTCTATCCGAGACCCGTATTCAAGACTCTGGTGAAGTACTACAAATTCGCTCTCCATCTGTCGCTTCGAAAAGCTTGTTTTACGTGCGCTTATCCGGGGACCCTGTGGCATCTTCGTTTGGTCTTGCTGGCGTTGGTGTCGCACTAAGCGCTAGAGCTGAGGCAGCACTAACCGATTGGGTTCCCATTAACAGTCGGTTATGTGCTGTTAGATTAGAAAGTTCCATCAAAGTGAGAAATCGGCGTGAGAAACGATGTCTTTTCGTCATCTCCGCCTATGCCCCGACAGATTGCAGCCCGGATGCAATCAAGGATGAGTTTTACCACCAGCTGTCTGTTCTTCTCCAGAAAGTGCGTTCGACAGATATTGTAGTACTAGCCGGAGACTTGAATGCTCATATCGGGCGTCTAGGCACAGAAGAGAGTCGTTTAGGTGGCCGATGGGGACTCGTTGGTCGCAGGTCAGATAACGGGGACCGTCTACTGCAACTTGGCACAGACCACAACCTGTTTCTGGCTAGCACTAACTTTCGGCACAGTCATCGCCGATGTGCCACCTGGCGTCCTCCCTCTGCATCCCATGCCTGGACTCAGATTGATCACATCGCGATCAGCTTCCACTGGCGTGGTTGTGTGAAAGACTGCCGCTCCTTTTGGAGTACCTATCTGGACTCTGACCACGCCTTGGTCTGCGCCAATCTTGCCTTACTTTTCAGTGGACAACGAAGTGACCGCCATCAAAGGATTGATATTAGCAAGCTGGTTGCAACTTCTGTTGCGAGTAAGTATCGAACCGAGCTAGCTTCTAGGCTAGCTACCACTCCACCGAAAAGTATAGATGAGCATTGGTTGCAATTGCATGACGCCATGAAAATGGCGGGAACAGTCAGTTGTGGGTTTGCGAAACGTCCCGCTTATAAGCACTGGGTTTCTTCTGGTTCCTTACAACTTATTGAAGCCCGTCGGTCGACTCCGGGTGACCGTGAGTTTGACCATAAACGAAGGATGTTACGTAAGGAATATGGGCAAAGCTTGCGTAAGGACCGAGAAGCCTGGTGGTCGGAGCGTGCTAATGAGATGGAAGCAGCAGCTGCATCTGGTAACTACCGGAAGCTCTTCCAGCTCATCCGAGCCACTGGCAGCAAGAAGTCTGGTGTGAGTGAAACAATCTGCGAGGATGATGGGATGCCAATCACTAACATCCATGGACGTCTTGGACGATGGGCAGAATTTTTCGAAGGGCAGTTCAACTGGCCTGCTGCTCCGGCAACATCGGTCAGACTGTCCTGCCCTCCATGGCCAGTGACGACTGATCCACCAAACGAGGAGGAAGTCTGCAAGGAACTCCAACTCTTGAAGCGTTACAAATCACCTGGCCCAGATGACTTACCTCCGGCTCTTTTTAAAGATGGTGGTGACTTTTTGACTAAGGAATTGACGACGTTGTTTACAAAGGTTTGTGAATTAGAGAGTGTACCAACGTCATGGAATGAGTCTATAGTTGTCCATATCTTTAAAAAGGGTTCACGTCGTTCCTGCAACAACTATCGGGGGATAAGTCTACTTCCGATTGCGTCCAAGCTATTGGCTTCCGTCATACTTCGTAGGTTGTTCAAAACCCGAGAAAGATTGACTCGCGAGGAGCAGGTTGGGTTTCGTTCTGGTCGAGGATGTATTGATCATACCTTCACCCTCCGCCAAATGCTAGAACACCGCCATACTTATCACAGACCAACAATCATAGTGTTTCTTGACATCAGGGCTGCCTCCGATTCGTTGGACAGGACTGTTCTCTGGGATTGTCTATTGAAGAAGGGTGTGCCTGAGAAGTTTATTAACATCCTAAAAGCCCTATATAAAAACACCTCAGGCAGAGTGAGGGCATACAACCACCTCTCTCCATTGTTCCATTCGAGTAGTGGGGTTAGGCAGGGTTGCCCAATCTCACCATTCCTCTTCAACTTTGCCATCGATGACATTCTGGAAACAGCTCTGATGAATGTAAGTAATGGTGGTGTGGATCTGTTGCCTGGAGAAAGACTTCTCGACCTTGAGTATGCGGATGATATTGTCTTACTGTGCGATAATGCCCAAGGCATGCAATCCGCACTTAATCAGTTGGCAATCAGTGTCCGTAGGTATGGTATGTGCTTTGCACCTTCGAAGTGCAAAGTACTTCTACAAGAATGGCAGGGTTCCAATCCTGTACTCACCCTGGATGGTGAGCAGATAGAAGTAGTCGAGAAGTTCGTGTATCTGGGTAGCTGCATAAGTGCTGGTGGGGGTGTGAGTGATGAGATCAATGCACGTATAGTGAAAGCCAGAGCGGCTTATGCCAATCTGGGCCACCTTTGGCGCCTTCGTGATGTTAGTCTGCTTGTAAAAGGTCGGATCTACAACGCGTCGGTGAGAGCAGTTTTGCTCTATGGTTGTGAAACCTGGCCTCTCCGAGTTGAGGACGTTAGACGACTCTCTGTGTTCGATCATCGCTGTCTCCGAAGGATTGCTGACATTCAGTGGCAACACCATGTTAGTAATGCAGAGGTTCGGCATCGTGTGTTTGGGCACAGAGATGATAATTCAATTGGTGTCACCATCTTGAAACACCGACTTCGGTGGCTTGGACATGTTCTGCGAATGTCGTCCCAGAGAATTCAACGTCGTGCATTATTTGCCGACTCTGGGACTGGTTGGAAAAAGCGGAGAGGTGGTCAGTGCATGACATGGTGTCGTGGTATGAAAGAAAGCTGCAAAGGACTGGCTTCTGTCGGTCCTTCACGACTCCCTGGTTGGGGCCTGAGAGATGGTGCTACACAGTGGCTAGAGACGTTATCAGATATGGCTCAGAATAGAAGCCAGTGGCGATCCTGCTGTAACCTTCTTTTACTTTCTTCATAAAAAGTGGTTGTGTCTCCCTTACTTGAAAGATTTCTTCTGATTGTACCTTTCCGTTCCATCGTTACGACCGCACTACCTTTCACCAATCTCTTTGTTATCGTTCTCTTTTTCTTTTGTGCTCCTTAGTTTTTTTTTTCTTTTCTCTCTTCGAATTTTCATTGTTTTGTGTGGCGCATATATATTGGCGCTCTCTTGTACCAATATTTATGTGCTCAAATAAATAAATAATGAGCTGGTTCAATGTGTTGTGATAAAATAGTTCTAGAACTAAGGTATAGTTCAGTAGGTTCTAATTAATGACCAGACCAAAGCAGCTCATAAACAATCGATTAGCGATAGCAAATAAGTAAATAATTAAACTTAATAAACATGTTGATTTTCATTTACTAAACTATGAACAACACATAAAAGAAATGCCCAAAGGTTGGTAGGTGGAATAGAGAACAAGTTTGAAAATTGATAATTGTGATGTGGAGAGACGAACTCATTAGTCCTATATAGTTAACGTAATATCGACATACAAATGATAATTTAGTTAACTTAAACTGGGTATGATATAATCGGGGAAATACATATTTACCGAAGAAATTGTTCACTTTTTAAACCGAAGGTGGAGAAACAAATATTCAATACTACGAAGGTTTTTTTTAACAATGTATCACAGGCCGTGAATACAACAAGTAATTTGAATTCACGGAACTATCAGTTAGTTTAAGTTGTTCAAATGTCATATCCATTTTTTAAACAGTAAGCACTGGCAAAACGTAAATGTTTACAATCGAGTATATCAGAGAGTATTTATCGGGACTAGTCAGTTCTGTTTTATGTAATTCTTCAGTTATACTTTGAAAAACTTCATTGGCTTAAAGGGTCAATCGACTACTAGAAAGTTCACTAGCAAAATTGGAGTAGGCAAACAACAATGTTGTTTGGTGGGAACTCTGAGTGAACAAAAAGTCATCTAGATAGCTTATTTAACAAACCAAGGATGGTCTCAGTGTATTTCTATCTCTAAATAAAAAATGTTATTTCGGGACTGAATTACATCATCCAATTTACAGTAAAATACTAAGGAGAGTCGATTGCGTGTGTTTAGATAGTCCGCCTAACTTCTAAAATTGAAGTAAATGTAGTAAGACTTCAACCTACAACCGAATTGTTAGAAGTCGAATCCTTTAAATTATAACCCACGAAAGTTGAACAAAATGTATCTATATGTGACGATATCAAGTCTACGTAGAGAGGTGTTCTAACTGTTATCGCACCTGACTTCTGACCACCACCACTGACTAAACCACTCCTATGAATCCGGTGTTCATCTTGCTGTACTAATGTGGTACGATAACCTGGACCGATGCATATATGTGCCTGGTCCTACTTTGTAGCTGACTGACTGACTGAAGAAGTTAAAACTAGTAGCTGATTGTCCATGGTCAATTTCCTAGGGTAATCAAACAACGTTGATCTTCGTAAAACTGCTTGGTCAAGTTTATCCCTTAGTAGACAAATAACCAACGAAAACAAATGAAAGCATAAAAATACAGCACATTAACTCACCTGGATAAGTTCAACGATGCTTGCTGCGAAAAATGGGGTGAGAACAACCCATGAACAACTGGAGTAGAATAATTAATAACAGCAGCAACTTACACTTTAAGAAGAAGATGACCTAGGAGGCGTCTGGACGAACTCAATTTGGAGACCTCCCTGAAAATATTGTACATAAATTAATTGCTTACTTGGGTAGTGGTGTAAGTTCACAAACGAGATTTTCAGTCATAAGGTTTAAACCACGAATGATAAACACACTCCCCAACCCCTTCCAAAGAAATGATAGACCCTGATTTATTACAGATTATTATATCAAAGGTTTACTTGAGATTGTATACACTTCCGAACAACAGGTATTAGGGTGAAAGGGGTTAAATGAAGACATCGACTTGATTCCACAACTTGACACTGATTTCTTATTACAATGAATGGATGTGATAATAAGACCTCTAAGAACATGCTAAAAGATATTAAGTAAACTCGCTTAAAGTAACCTGGCAACTCCAATACCTATTCCAGCCAAGGCTGGACTTAAGTCTACAACTATTTTAGTCGAAAAACACCTACCATTATCAGGAACAGCTGGCTTTACATCCACGGACTCCTGAAAATTTTCTACCGGTTCCCCATTCAAAAAGGAATTTGACACAGACCCGCCTTGTACTAATTTATGTTCTAAATATTTTAGACGCTCGGAGTACATCCGTACGGGTAACGCAATACTTGAAACGTTTGCCAAATCCAGTACACAAGACCAGCAAATTCTAATATATGATACCTTTGTTACAAACTGGTGTAAACCAGTCCATTTCTATTTCCTCGCTTCTTGACGGTAATGTACAGTTTTAATTCATTTGTTTAGTTCAATGTGCGTAGTACAGTAACTCGTCAGCACCAATCCAACTTACCTGTACAGGTATTTATAGATTAATGTTTTTTGGGTATAATTGACGTGTTCGTTATATGACAGTAAAGTTTTTATGACTATCAGCTATCGTATTAGAGGGAAGTACACTGGGTGGTTGTAATATGAAGAATTTAAGAATTCGGATAAATGGAACCAGATAAAGGCCAAAACAATAAACAAAAAAATTGAATGACACCAAAAATGTGGCTGGGTAGATTAGTAGACACATACATGTAACGAAATAGAAAAACATCCATTGAACGAAGATGATAAGATGCATCGTGGTGTAAGGGGTGACTACAAATTACAGTTAGTTACTTTACTAATGTGAGAAATTCGAACGATAGTTCAGGATTATAACAAGTGTGAAGAGTGCTAATTTGCAAATTTGTATATTTGGGTATGAATTAATTGGTAATAACACTCTTCATTCTATAGCAGTAAGTAAATCCCCAAAGTAAATAGTTCTGTAAGTGTTTGACATTTGATACTGGGCCCCTTTAGATAACATTTCTTGTTCAAGCCTCCAAAATAGGTGCGGGCATTACTTGTCTCATGTCAGAACAACACTGTAGACGAACCAGTCGCAACTACTAACCAGATTCTGGTGATCACTTGAACACCCAGCCTGTAGGTTTATTCTGTCAAAGAAAAGCCCCAAACGACTAAAAACGACATTGCAGATCCCTATTATACTGTCACTCAATATGTTCATATTCGTCATATTCGTAGGCGTCCTCAAACTCCACGTAAAAGACCTCCCTCAGGACCACAAGAGGCAGATAACCCTGAATGGTGCCGGTATCACCACACCCATGGCAAGTCATTTAGAAATTCCAGGAAACCATGCAGCTTCCCAGTTTTTAAAATGTCCGACAAGAAAACTCTTTTTCTAAACTTCCTCACTGGAATGCGTTAACATCAACCGCGCTCAGAGAACATAGCCGTCTGTTGTACATCATCTATGTGATAAGGAAAGTTCGCTACCTCTTCAACCTTGGCACAGAAACGTTCTTCCTTCAGTTCTAACGACCATCTTCACAAACCGATCTTCAACTTACAGGCGGTAGATAGAAAACCGGTCGCCACATGCGGTCAGAGATATGTTTATTATGATTTAAGTTCATGCGGACTCATTCACTGGGTCTCCCTTGTTGCAGATATTTCTATGCCAACCATTGGAATAGACCTGCATTAACGCCACAATCTACTCACCGACAAGGGCAATCAGAGGTTAGCAGACAACAACAGTAAATAAATTATATGTGTAACTTATTTTTCTGGTTGTAGATTTTCCACAGTCACAATAAGGCTCACGATCGATCCATTGTATCAATAAACATTCCATAAGTACCCAAAGCTTTACCAAACGCGACCAAAATCGTTGTGTGTAACCATTAATTTTACACATCACGTCACGACTATAGAACTAAATGTGTTCCCGAAAGCTCGCCGACTACCTTCCGAAACGCTGAGATCAGCTAAAAATGAATTTGACTACATGATGGACTTGGGAATCATTCGGCCATCAAACAGCACATGGACATCGCTTTTGCACATGATCTTTAAGAGGGACAGCAATGATTAGCGTCCAACCTGTGACTATCAGCAAGTGATTGAGAAAACCATTCCTGATCGATATTTCTTGCCTCGCATTCACGATTTGGCAGCTACCTTTAAAGATCTCGAAAATCCACTTCGTTAAAACCCATAGCCGAATTCCCATGGCTGCTAATGTCATTCCTAAAATCAATGTCATTACACTTTCCAGCCTCTAGGAATTTTCGCACATACATTTCGTCTTAAAAAATGCTGCATATATTTTTAAGAGATTCATGGATGATGTATTCAAAGGTCTCAATTTCATATATGAACATTTTGATGACAACTCTACCTGTAGCTCGTCTAAAGTTACTGCCGGTTCCAACTCCAGGTGAAGCAGGAGACTTTGGCATTGGGTTAGCAATCCTCTCCCGCAAAAAAAAACAACTTTTATAAACAAATGCTGACCAGAAAAAACAAATTAAACCATTTAAACTCTGTCCTGTGAGTTGAAGGAAGAGTTGTGATACTTCATGATGAAAGCCGAGATTCTACGGAAGTCACAAGGTCGATACACCTTCTAGCGACCAGAGCAATAATTATTATAGGTACATTTAATGTACGGACAAAGTGTGACACCGGGAAGATCAGTCAAATGGCAGCGGATATGAGTAGGTTCATCTTGACGGTTCTCGTATTAAGTGAAACCCACAAGACTCAATCTGGAAAGAAAAGGATATATTCAGAAGAGATGCAGCTGTACTCTGGTCGCGAAGAAAATAATGGTTCGTGCATACAAGTAGTTGCATTGATGTTGTTCAAAGAAACACGTAAAGCTTTTGTAGGATGGGAATCTCATGGACCCAGGCTCACGAAAGCATCCCTCGAAACAAAGAAAGATGGAATCACAGTCATTGTCACCCAGTATTGTGCAATGACAATAATAAAGACTAGTTTTACTGGGGTTTGCTATCTGTTACTTTAGAGTGCTCAAGAAAGTACCTGATCATCCTTACTGGATATCTTATCTGCAAATGGACAACACCGGATATGGAGATGTAATGGGACGACATGGATTGAAATATAGAAAAAAATGAGAATGGTGAGAGATTTGTAGATTTACACTATCCCCAACGTGCCACTGGGCGCCGAGCCACATGAAGCATCATCATACGGAATCGATCTCCACTGAAACCTATCACAAGATTCAAGAAAGGAAGAATAAAAAGACAACAATTAACAACAGCCGAACGAGGAAAGGGAAAGTCAATGTACAAACAAAACACACAGAAACAAACAACCAAGTGAAGACAAGCACCAGAATCGACAAACAGGAATACGTGGAAGGGCCAGCAGAGACAATGAAAAAAGCTCCCGTAGAAGAATATATCAGACAACTCTATGACGCGACGGCGAAACTAACAGGGGAGTATAGTGAATCAGAGGGACTAGTCAAGGACAAAGAAGGCGGGCTAATCATTGAAATTCACGAACAGACAACAGAACAATGAGTAACTCTTGAATAGACTAGCTCCACTGAACCCACCGAACATCGAAGCATCACACACAGACATTCCCATAGCTGTCTCTCCTTCAACGACGGAAGAAATCAGGTTGGTCATCACGGAAATCAGGTTTGGGAACACAGCAGGACCTGACAATATACCCTTCGAAGAACTGAAATCAGACGTTGGAGCAACTGTAAACATGTTAAACACTATTCAGGAAGATTTGAGAGAAAGAACAGGTGCTGACGGATTGCGAAAAAGAATATCTCATCGAGATACCAAGGAAAGGAGACCTGGATAAATGTGAAAACTACAGAGGCACGACAGTACTATCAGTACCGGGAAACGTTTTTAACAGTGTTGCTAGATCAGAAGTAAGATTCGGTAGACAACCAACTTCGAGATCAGCATGCCAGATTTTGTAAGGATCGGTCGTAATCGGACAAAATCACGACACACGGATCATCGTTGAACGATCAATCGGATGCAACTCGTCACTATACATCAATTTCATTGACTATGAAAAGACGTTTGACAGTGTAGATAGGAGAACTATATGGAACCTCGTTCGACACTATGGTGTACCTCAGAATGTCTTCAACATCATCCTAAATTCATCGGACGGACTGTAGGGCAAAGACTTGCATGGAGAACAGGTGATAGACTATTTTTCAGTGACGTCCGGAGTCAGACAAGTCTGCTTTCTTTCTCCTCCACTCTTTCCTCTGCTGGTTGACTAGATTGTGAAGACCTCGACATTCGAAGGGATACACGGAGTAAAACAGAGAGGTTGGATGCAGCTAGGTGATTTTGACCTCACAGACGACCTGAGCTTTCCATCTTCTACACTTCAACAAGTGTAGATCAAGACAATTAGTGTAACAGCAGTCTCTGAATCAGTAGACCTCAAATTACACAAGGGGAGAAGCGAGATCATCAAGTACAACACGGAGAACACCAAAACCTACCATATTTAATGAAGAAACACTCTAAGAGTTGGAAAATTTCATGTAGCTGGAAAGCATCATTGATGAATGTGGAGGATCCAATGCAGACGTAAAAACAAGGATTGGCAAAGCAATAGCCAAATCTACGAAGTTGAAGAACATAATGAACTAAAATAACTGTCAACCAAAATCAAAGTTCGAGTCTTCAATACGAACGTCAAGACAGTCTCACTGAAACTTGGAGAACTACCACAAGCATCACTTAAAATGTAAAATTATTTGTAAACAATTGTCTACACGAGATAGTGAATGTCCGTCAGCTGAATGCCATCAGCAACAGTCTACTGTGAGAGAGAACAAGCCAGCTTCGAGATAAAACGGAAATTAGGAGAATATGCTGAAATTGTATAGGACACACATAAAAAGAATCACAAAACTGCATCACGAGACAAGCACTAAGATGGAATAGTGAGGGGAGACGGAAAAGTGGAAGGCCGAATGATATACTGTATCGAGTGTTAACAGCAGACATGAAAATTATTAATAGCGACTGGAAAGAACTAGAATATTTGTAGAAGACAGAGTTAAATAGATAATGCTGATGAGTGGCCCACGTTCTTTCACGAAGAGCAGTAAGCGTAAGTAAGTAACATGTAGACAATCAAGAAAAAAATCTCATTCTGAGCATTTACGCCTTGTATCTGAACGATTGCAAGAACACGACATTACTGTAAACATTCATACATATCAGATCAAAAACAACTCTGCGGATTTTGGACACACTATTGATATTCAAGGCATTCGCCCTCTACAAACAAAGTGGTAGCCATTCTGGATTACCCAGAAACGATGATAATCAATAAACTACGCAAGTCCAACGGCCTGGTGGGCTTCTATCGACGGTTCATACCTAGCTGGTTGTTTCTCATGAAACCCATAACACACCAAAATTGTGAAAATGTATAACTCATTAATTTGGACAACAAGGAGAAATAAATACCATACATATTTAAGGAAATTATCGTAAAAGCAACTATGGTCGCA